AAAATATATCTTTATTGATTTCAGAGAGAGGAAAGGAGAGGGAGAGAGAGAGAGAAACATCAATGATGAGAGAGTCATTGACCAAGCCCGCAACCCGGGCATGTGCCCTGACCGGGAATCGAACCCCGATTGCCTGGATCCTAGGTCGACGCTCAACCGCTGAGCCACGCCCGGCCGGGCGGTCTGAATGTTTTTTATTATCTAGCTGACTAATAAGTAGTACTATTCAGTAGTTGATAAGCATTAGCTAAAAAGAGTAGAAACAATTGGAATGGGATGACAAGAGTAATTTACTCATTGAGGCCCATAAGAGTCTGGTCTAATTGGTTATTAAGAATAAAGATACTGCTGTTTTTATATTATATTCTGAGAGAACTTTGTGGGCTTCAGACAGGTTAGAGTGTGGATTGATCCTCAGGTGCCTGTCCATATCCCCTGTTTTCAGTCTAGCCTGACCAGAGCATTTCAGAGTTCTGTTTCTTCAATGCTCTCCCCTTACAGCTGCCTTGAGATGGAAGAAACAGGGTAAGTCAGAAGGAGACTTAGTGACCAAAGAAGCTGAATCTTTTGGCCATCTCTGTGTTGTATGTATATCTTAAAACACAAAGCTAGATCAAAAATGGCTTTTAAAATCTCACTGATTTATGCCTCCTATTGACTATAATGTATAGCAAGAAAAAGTTGTGACACTTGAAGCCCCATCTTTGGGGCACTAAAGGTAAACGAGGTTTAAATGCATCATACCGACTTTAGTAATTGAAAAGAAAGGGGCTCTTGAAGGGAAGGGTGGCCTGCAGCCAAATGGACCAGGGTTAATGATTGAATGAAAGTTACTTGTTTATGTGTATGCATAATGAGAGATTGAGCTTTTTATGGATAGGAACCATCTGTATATTTTTATGTCCCTTTTGCCTGGTGTATAATAGGCACTTAGTAATAGGCAATTGGTTTATTGAATGAATGACTAAAGAGATCTGTCCCTTCAAAATAAGCAATCTGAATCCAAATAGTGTCCAGGGATTGATTTAAATAATACTGTGGCTCTCTCAGAAACAAAGTGGTCTGATCTGATTGAAAGATGTAAGTCAGTGGAAAAGGGTTCCAGTGAAAATAGCTTGTGTGAATTTGGAGAGAGGAAATGTTGCTTGATGAGACCCTTACTGGCCTGACGCCTAAGTGCTGTGAAAACTTGGCATGGCATTTAAGAGATCTCTCTACAAATGCAGTGTGATTATGGATAGAAATTATGACTTGGAGGAGGGGGCCTTTTCTGAATTACAGCAAATGTCCATAAAGTTTTACTGGTCTAGAAGAACTCATGCTAGGACAGGAAGCACTCGATATTTGATCAGTGAAGTTAAAGAGAGGGAGCTAATGAATATGACAAGGCAGATTTACCAGCTAAATTAGCATCACCTATTTCTTTAGAAAAGTGAGCACTATGATGATGGGAGAGACTACTATTTTGACATTAATAAGGTCAATAGCATCAGGAAAGGAGGGAAAGAACAGGCCCTCCGGGATAAAGCATCAAGAAGAGGAGTTACTTAAAAGGAAATGTGTTTCATTTGCATCGCATGAGAAAATTTATGGTAGATATATGAATCCAAGATAGGAGGGTACCCCCAAAATGAGTCCCAGAGAACCCTGAGAACTTAAAGATGGGCCTGGCTGTGGGGAAAGATCCAGGTGATGTCAAACATCATGAGTTGCTGGGGGCACCTGTAATGCTGAAAAAACGGTGGGTCCTTGTAAGTGGTTGCAGCTCAATTGTGGGCTTTGTTCCAAGGGAAAGAATCAATTTCCTTTAGTTATTTTAAACTATTTTCCTAAGTGGATGAGTACTTTTACTTCCCTAAAGCATTAAATTGCCAATGTGACTGAATGGCTGACCTCAGGAAGTCTTTCCCTAATGGGGTCTGGCGGGACCTGTGCCAAATGGATAGAGACTGGAGCCCAGAGATTATTTGTATTTCAGTGAGAGAAAAGTAATAAGAAATCTATTTAATTGTACTTCTCCTCCACCCCTTTTATTTATAGTCCTGCAAAGATCAAATCTAGAAAAAAACAATCAGTGATTATTCTATACCTTCCTTACTGCTAATCCTATCATTATAAATCCGTTATTAAGCTTTAATGGCAACTCAGAGAGAATTATGTCGTCTTAAAAAGGAAGAAAGAATTTCCCTCTGCTTCTGGAAGAATTTTTTATCTGTTCTTGTCTTTGTCTCTTTTCTATATCTAACTTTTCTTTGTCTAAACTGTTATTAATGTGTTTTTCTGTTCAGATATGATAATTTTCATTTCTAGAGGTTCCATTTGGGTCTTTTTAAAATTTTAAATATGACTATTGATTTCAGAGGGAGGAAGGGGGGGAGAGAGAGAGAGAGAGAGGGAGAAACATTAATGATGAGAGAGAGTCATTGATCGGCTGCCTCCTGCCTCACTGGGGATCGATCCCTTACCTGGAATTGAACCTCGATCTCCTGGATCATAGGTTGATGCTCAACCACTGAGCCATGCTGGCCGGACATTTGGCTCTTTTTTGTATCTTCAGTTTTGCTCTCTATCATGCTTATGTTCTACTTTCTTAAACATATGGAGTATATTTTTAATAGCTGTTGTAATATCTTTGTTGGATAATTCCAGCATCTCTGGGATTTCTCTGCCTGTTTCAGAGTCCAGAATGCTAACCATTTCACTATGGGGCTGTGTCTGTTTCTGTTGATTGCATTTTCTCCTGGCTATTGGTCATATTTTTCTGCCTTTTGCATGCCTGGTAATTTTTATTAGATGTCAGACATTGTGAATTTTATACTGTTAGGTGCTGGACTTTGCTGTATTCCTTTACATAGTGTTGGAGTTTGTTCTGGTGCACAGTTAAGTTACTTGGAATCAGTTTGCTCCTTTTAAGACCTACCTTTAAGCTTTAATATGCCGGGTCCAGAGCAATCTTTAGTCTAGTGTTAATTTATCCCCACTAAGGCAGCACCCTTCTGAGGATTCTTCCTCTGTATCATGACAGCACTGTGGCCGGCAGAAACAAACTATTTCTATCCCAATTTCTAGCCATCCTGGCCTCCCTGAACTCTTAGACTTTTTCCTTCTATCTTGTACCCTAGGAACTGCTTGTAGGCAGTAAGCTGGGACAGTCACAGGCCTTGCCTTGTTCTTGCTTCCCTTCTCTCAGAAATCAGAGTCCTGTGCTGATTATTTTTTAATGTCTAAAATAATCACAATTTCATATTTCTCCAGTTTCTTAGTTGTTTAGGCAGACGGGTAGATCCAGTTGGTATTTCTCTTGGCCAGAAGGGGTAGTGCCCTACTCAGGTTCTAATTTCATGAAGGACACATCCCTATCCTGCTCTTGGAATTCCTGGGGCCCTTGATCAGATTCCGTATAGAATTTAGAAGGAAGAGATGTATTACTGTGTATAGACACAGAACCCTTCTTTGTATGTTTTAGGTTTGGCCAGGTTATTAAAGATACAAACCTATGTTTAGAAAGTGCAATTGGGATCAAAAGGAAAAGCCCCTTATTGTGGCAGCGAGGTGCTGATTAAGAAAGCAGAATGGAGTAGAAAAGGATTTCTGAAATCTTCCCATCGGAATGAAGCCTTTGAAGATTTGCATCAACAGACACTGCCCGACGGGCCGGCCAGGAGGGCACGAGCAGAGGCCTCTGCTGGAGCAGCCCCAGGCTAAGAATTCTGTGGTAGACCAGTTGGAGCTGAACTCTCCTTAGCGTTGGAGTGGTATTTGGGAATGTTCTTTGCAGGAGAATACTGGGGACTTCAAACTCCTGATTTGTCTATAATACTAGGGGTTTTTTTGAAGGAGCAGGGGAGAGTTTTCCTGTTTCTTAAAGTTTCCTAATGGACATGAAACTTACAAATGTTGAAAATGTTGCACGCTCCTGGGCTGTCCAGCAGAGTCTCCCTGTCATGCCACGGATCTTGGCATTTTTGTTAGATTTTTTTTTTTTTTTAAATGAAGTGATTCTCTACTAAATTCTGTCTTGATTTCAGAAACAGTATTACTTTTCTGAGTCTCTTTTGTGAAGTTGGCTACCAAAGTCATGGCAAGTGTGTCCTTTGTGCATAGAAGGTCAGGAATGGAACGAGCCATCACTTCCTCTGCTGAGCTCAGGGCAGACGTTGCAGCCCACCATACCCCTCCTGCCCTGGATTCATCAGCTTCAGAATCCCCACTACCACAGCACATCAGGCATCCATCACTGGTTAACCAAGTTGGCCACTTGAAATGAAGCCTATTTTTCTTTTCTACCTTAAGGAGAACATAGTTGGTTTAAAATATCAACCTCCCTCACATTAGAGAGTTCCCAGC